CTAAGGAAGGGCTTTTGGCCAAGATCGCCACTGGCCTGTCACTACAGAAACAGCCAACATATCAACACCTTGAGGCCAGGTGTGTACAAACAGTGTTCTCACCAAATGCTCCTATAAACTATTACGCATGCCAAGCACAGTGGGTGAAGTAAAGGGACCTCACTCAACAGGTCCCCAACTACACCCCAGATCCTCACATCACTTCTCAAACACAAATTCTTAGAGAAATGTCTGATTTCTCCCACACAGAACTGGAGAATTTGCTGCCAAATGAGATCACTGTGTGAGATAATACAGTTTGGGTCATGCCCTTCTGAGGACTCCCCTTCTGAGAGCACCCCACTCAAACAGGCCGCTTATAACAGCAGTGCAGTCACCAGTGTGGCACCTAGGGCCCCCAGCATCTCAGACAGGCCCGGTTTATAAGTTGAGGAGGTGAACTTGAAACTCAGAGTTCAGTTCCTCACAGACGAGCTACATGAGAAGCAGCTGCAACATGAAGAAGGGCAGCTAACAGTCAGCTTCCCCAAGTTAGGGCACCCAGGCCCTGAGACATAGAGTGAGGCGCATGCACACACACAAACACACACACACACACCCCACACACAGACACACACTCATACACACCACATACATATACACCACACACACACCACACACACACACATACACAGACATACACTCATACACACCACACACACACATACACCACACACACACCATATACACCACACAGATATACACCATACACACCACACACATGCATACACACTGCATAAACACATACAATCCACATACACACACATACACACATCACACACACCACATACACACACCACACACACACATACACCACACACACCACACACACATACACACCACACACACATACACCACACCACACACACACCACACACACACCACACACACACACCACACACACACATACACACCACACACACCACACACACACAGCACACACACACATACACACCACACACACCACACACACACAGCACACACACACATACACACCACACACATACACCACACACACACTACACTCACACATACACACCACACACACACACATATACCACACACACATACACCACACCACACCACACACACACCACAGACACACACAGCACACACACACATACACACCACGCACATACACCACACACACATACACCACACACACACCACACTCACACATACACACCACACACACACACCACACACACACACTGCACACACACCACATACACACATACACCACACACACACACACACACATGCACACCATGGGTCTTATCTTTCTAACACCTGTCTGCATGTCTAAGCAGCTTAGCATCATGTTCTTTAAGAGTCTGGTCACCTTAAGTCAATTCCTATTACTTCTACTCCATAATTTTCTAGGGGATCATCACGTATGAGTTATTAGTACTTAAAAATGACAGGAAGGAACAAACACTTAATTTTTTTTGCATTTCACAATGTATATTTGAATGTTATTAGTTATATATTCACTCATTTGTGTGTGTGTGTGTGTGTGTGTGTGTGTGTGTGTTTAGAGTGCTATGAAATTTACATCACATCCTTAGCTTTGGCTGACAATCACAGCAATCAAGATGCATAACGGTTCTAGTCCCACGAGGCTCCTCTGTTCCCACTGAAAGCCATAACCGCCCCTCCTTTCCCAGATGCTTACCTCTGGTAAATGTTACTCTTTTTTCCATCTCTAGGATTTTATTATTTTAAGAATATTTGAGCGAATGTATACATCATGTAACCTTTTGAGAATTGCTGTGTGTTTTTTTTTTTTTTTTTCACAAAACCTAATTTCATGGTGGTCCATTCACTTTGTGCAAACCCTTTTAATGTTTTCTAATTACGGTAAAATGTTCTTGATGTCCTCATAGAAATGGTCACTCCAACCCCCCACGCGTATCTGCCTTCTGCTGTATTTCTTAATGAAAACTTAGTCTCCATTGTTTTTTCATGCTGAATCTGATAAATTACAGCACATGCTTATGGTAGAATTCTGAAGATCATTAAGGTGGATGTTTTGAAAGATCTTTAATATAATTTAAAACATTCAAATTGTGCTAAAAACATATATAAAGCACGACAACATTTTCATCAACATTTATTAAAAGATAGAAAACATATGAAACAGGATATTAAATCTGATTATGGATTTAATCTGGTGAAAGTACAGATGACGTTTATTCTCTTGTTTTACTTTTCAAAATATTCTCCAAAGGTTATTTATTACTGACTGAGGAATCTTAAAATTCTACTTGGAAAAGCTGACAAGACACACACCTGTCCATTTCTCAATTCATGAAATAATGGTGTTTTTTCTCTTCAGCATTTTTGGTCAGACACTAAAGAGGGGCTGGATGTAATTAGCAGCTTTTTATTGTTATAGCTTTACATTTGATCACATCCTTTATAAACTCTCTCTTGAAGAAAACCCCAATAATAATTCTTGTCCTCACAGCACTGACATAAGTACACAGAAACACAGACACCCAATAGCCATATGTATCTATGAAACAGTTCACAAGGCTGGGCGCAGTGATTCACACCTGTAATCCCAGCACTTTTGGAGACTGAACGCAGTGGATCACGAGGTCAGGAATTTAAGACCAGCCTGGCCAAGATGACAAAACCCTGTCTCTATTAAAAATTCAAAAATTAGCCAGGTGTAGTGGTGGGTGCCTGTGATCCCAGCTACTGGAGAGGCTGAGGCAGAGAATTGCTTGAACTCAGAGGGCAGAGGTTACAGTGAGCCAAGGTCATGCCACTGCCCTCCAGCCTGGGTGACAGGGTGAGACTCCATGTCAAAAGAAAAAAAAAAGTTCATCAAAATTGGCAGATTATACTAGAATGAAAAAAAAATAGGAATGAGTTTGTCTACTATCCAAGAGCCAGCTGGATAGAAATTATAAAATTGACCATAATATGATGAAATTTGAAGAAATTGAGTATTATTAGAGGAGTGATAAATGTAATAGAACATAGTGATAATAATAGTACCTACCAATAAATTGTCATGAGAAAAATATTAAACAGAAACTGCATACGAAGTACTCAGCACATGCCTCGGAAAGTATTCACAATAGTAAAGAAACACATGGCTAACTAAAGAGATGGACGCAAAATATCGAGTTCAAGTTGTTCGTGGTGAGAAAGTTATCTGCTTCACCTTTAAAATCTTTTATTTTATCTTTATTTTAAGTGTGTGCCAGGAGTTTTCAGGACAAAGCAAATGCAAATATACGATTTGAATGAAGTGTGCAGAAATAATAAGATGGGCTGATCCTGACGTTTACTCTTATGTGATGAAAATGAGATTTAATCTAAGCAGAAACTTAGATCAGTGCCGAGTTGTTTGTGCTTTCTGAGACTTTCCTCTGAATTCAGTTAATACACGAAAATAAATCTAAATACAAGAAATAGCAATATGTGGATTTGTTCATTTGTAAAATATCAGCATATATAGATATTTAGTAGTCTGTGTGAAAAAATATATGTAATGTTACCTCCAGTTTAATTTGCTGTTAATGTGGTTAGCTGTCTAGAACAATAAGAAAATTGCTCATTTAAGTCTCACTTTTCTTCTGGTGACAAATTACCTCAATTGTAGGCTATATCCTTATAAGAAACTGAATACCTCATTGGCACTAACCTTCCCAAAGTGAACAGACCTTGTAATTTCTACTTTTGTTTTCTCTATACGTTAGATCAGAATATTGAGGAACATAATTTTGAGAGCTATGAGTAATGTAAAGTACTCCCGTATGCTTAGTGTTAATGAGATTAAGAAGGACGTATGGTAAATGACAGAATGAATCAGATACCTCTTCTTGTAAGAATCTTTTCAAATAGTGAATGTGCATAGGCTGTGTTTCATTCCAACAAAGTCGAAAAGGAAATCAAAGAAACACAGACAAAATCGTGAAAAATTGTGAAGAGAAAAAGCTGTTTGAGTTGGGTGACTACAGTTTACAACAACGTATTGTATTTTTCAAAACAGCTGGAAGAGAGGAATTTAAGTGTTTCCAACAAAGAGGGAAATGATGATGCTCGAGGTGATGAACGTCCTAAATTTCCTGATACCCCGAGTTTATCATTACACACATGATACATGTCATGAAATCTCACATGTACCCGAAATGCTTATATGTGTTATGAATCAATAAACATAACCAAAGAGAGTCTTCTTATTCTCTATTTAGTTACATCCAAGCCACTCTCTTGCTGGAACAAATATGGGGGCTGATGATGATGATGGTGGTGGTAATAGTGGAAACAATGATGATATGTTGCTGCAGATAAATCTCTATTAAATGACAGGTAATTATGCATCAGGCATTGTGCCAGCAAAATGTCAGATAGTAATTCAATTTCATGCCTTAGACTAGTTTGTTAAGTAAATGTTATTTTGCTCTCTTTGCAGTAAAGAGATAGACATTCAGGCCGGGCACGGTGGCTCACGCCTGTAATCCCAGCACTTTGGGAGGCCAAGGCGGGTGGATCATGAGGTCAAGAGATCGAGACCATCATGGTCAACATGGTGAAACCCCGTCTCTACTAAAAATACAAAAATTAGCTGGGCATGGTGGCGTGTGCCTGTAATCCCAGCTACTCAGGAGGCTGAGGCAGGAGAATTGCCTGAACCCAGCAGGCGGAGGTTGCGCTGAGCCTAGATCACGCCATTGCACTCCAGCCTGGGTAACAAGAGCGAAACTCCACCTCAAAAAAGAGATAGACATTCAGAGAGTTGAATAATAGGTCCTCGAATCAATCAAACACTATTAAAGAAAATAAAAGGGGTTTAAAATAATACAGAAATCATCTTTGGTGTGACCCAAATTGTGATATGCTGCCTGTGGATGAAAGAAAGATGGAAATAAACCCAAATGATTGTATAATATTGCTGATAAAGCAGATGTGAAGAGAACCAAAAGATCCATTCACAAATATACATGCATAGATACTTTATTCAGGGAGTGAAAGAAAAGTGACAATTGCACAGGTGCAAGAAGCTCATGCCCAGGTGACAGACAGACACAGAACACATCAACAGAATCCTCTGATGGTTCCCAGGGAGAGAACTGCTGCTCTTTCTTCCAAAGCTCTGGGAGCTGGAACAGCTGAGGACTTCCTTTTCTCAGTCTCTACCTGGACGGTGACAGGATTGCAGCCTCAGAAAGAAAACCTTTTGGTGTCCAGGATCATCACAGGCAGATCACAGGCTAAGGGGAAAGAAGCTCCCTGTGTATCCATTGTAGGCTTTAATCAGAAGACGCAGGTGGAGCTGCAGAACTAGGTGGGCCAATTATCCTCATCCTTTCATGGTCCTGATGAACCCTGAAGCTGCTACTTGCTCTTGGGTGGACACTTTGGCTGGCAGGGTGGGGAAGGTGGCACAGGAGGACATTTCTGCTGGCACTGCTGAGGTGGGCAGGGCTCTGTACCCTTTGGTGGTGGACATGGTTCTGGGCGCTTTGGCATGGGGCACACAGGAGGTGGCTGGCTGGGCTGCTTACACTGCTGCTGTTGGTAAGACATCCTGCTGGAGTCTCAGAATCTGAAAGAAATGATATGACAGTGTTCATGGGAAGGGACTCCTACAGAGAGAGAAGCAAAGCTTATGTAACACCGTGGGATATTATTGCTCCAATCTGCAAGAAATTATTTAAACTCTTAATTTCCTTTTCATGACTCCCTGGTTTCTCTCTGCCACTTTAGCAAATTGCTTCATTGTCCCTGAGAAATCTTGTGTTTTCTCACACAATTTTTCCAAAGAAAAATCTCTGTGGTAAAGAACCAATCATGTTATTTCCATAAAAATAACATCTTCAAGAAAGGCAGTCAAAAGTTCAGATACCCATGACAATCTCACAAGCTATTCCTAGCATCATTATCTGTTGTAAGTGCCCAGTGGATTGACTTGGAAACAGAGCACAGGGCTGTTTGGGAAGAATTGCAGTCTCTCACACCTGCTACGACATAAACCTTTGAAAAAGGCACCAGAAAAGTAGAGAAAAAAGAAAAATACTTTGTTCTTTTTTCTTCAAATCAAAGCTTTCCACTTGACTTCTCTGTCCATATGAACACCTAACTGTACAAAAAGAAAGCTAAAATAGTGTACCATTGTGCTCTAACCTAAATTTTCATCCACTAAGTAGCATCAAATCAACATTCATAGGATTGGATCAACCAATCCTGCTGTATTCAGATTAACTCAACATTTCAGGGCACACAGAACAGAGGAACTCAAGGAAGCAGACTCACCAGGTTCTCCAAAGCAGATCAGTGCTCAGGAGTTTAGGAGTCGTGCAGCAGAGGATCTCTTTATAGGGCCTGCTGCCCCACCCAAGACAGATTCCAGAATGAGATCCAGTCTCCCCAGCACATTTGATACTTGTCCCCATCAAAGAAGTATATTATTGGCCTGGCACGGTGGCTCACGCCTGTAATCCCAGCACTTTGGGAGGCCGAGGCAGGTGGATCACGAGGTCAAGAGATCGAGACCATCCTGGTCAACGTGGTGAAACCCCGTCTCTACTAAAAATACAAAAAATTAGCTGGGCATGGTGGCGCATGCCTGTAGTCCCAGCTACTCAGGAGGCTGAGGCAGGAGAATTGCCTGAACCCGGAAGGCGGAGGTTGCGGTGAGCCGAGATCGCGCCATTGCACTCCAGCCTGGGTAACAAGAGCTAAACTCTGTCTCAAAAAAAAAAAAAAGATGTATACTATTGTCTTTATTTATAAAAATGTATTATTGGACACCACATTAAGGAAATGAAGCGATGTGAACCAAAATTACAAGCATTCATTCAAAAGCTATGGATTTGAACCATACCTATATGGTTCCCTGTGAACATCCTATACAGAACAAGCTGCATAGACTCACATTATCATATGTAAATAATTAGAAGTAGGTCTGAGGAGTGGGGGTGGTCAGAGCACTTAAAGTGTGAAATCTGGGGGAAAATACAAACTGAGTATAATCGAATATGTGTTCTTCCTATTTCCAAACAGGTTTTAGGTGTTTCTCAGTGTCTTTACATTTGTCTGCATGTTCTTTCTTTGTCTTTTCCATAAGTCCCCTAGTCCCACAACCTGCTAGATTATCAAGTCGCACTCCAATGTACACTTTGCATCTACCCATTTTGGTACACATTGTTCACTCAACATATATATCGTCAATGCATGCAGTGATTCTTCTTTCATATCTTTTGTGAATTCTTCCTGCAATCAGGGAGGCTTACTAGACATGATATATTAAACATTTAAGGTGTTATTGCTAGAGCTTCCTTATCTGGACCAATAATCTGGAAGCTTTCCAAGAACATGGTTTATAATTGGAGAAGAGAAAAGGAGAATGAGGAAGAGGAAGAGGAAAGAGTCAAAATCACTGGAGCAGTCACAAGCTGTGCTCCAGGAAGGGCAGGAGTGCTGAATCAACCAGCATCACATCCCTCAGTTAAGCAGGTTAGGTTCCCAGAACTGCCATTGCTCCTGTCAGTAAGGAAGAGCTTTGGGGCAAGATCATCACTGACCAGGATGCTACAGAAATAAAGACATCACATCAGGACCTTGAGGCCAGATGTTTACAAATGGTGTTCTCACCAAATGATCCCTATAGACACATGCTAAGCACTTCAGAGGGCAAAGTAAAGGGCCTTTACTCAATATTCACCTACTCTACTACTCCCCAGTAGCCTGACATCACATCTAAAACACAAATCCTTAGAGAAATGTCTGACTTCTGCTAGGTACAATTGGAGAATCTGCTGCCAAATGAGATGACTGTGTGAGATAACACAGTTTGGGTCATACCCTGAGATTCCCCTTCTGATTCTGAAGACACCCCACTCAAAGAGGCTGCTTATCACAGTAGTGCAGGCACCAGAGTGGCAGCAGCCCAAGTGCCCCCAGCAGCTCAGACAGGGTCATTTTACAAGTTGAGGTGATGAACTTGAAACTCAGAGTTCCTCACAGACCAGCTACATGAAGAACGGCCACAACATGAAGAGGGCCAGCCAATTGTTGCAGCTTCCCCAAGTTAAGACATCCAGGGCTGAGACGTGGAGAGAGGCATACTTCACACACACACACACACACACACACACACACACACACACACACACCATGGGTCTGTATCTATCTATCTATCTATCTATATATATATATATATCATCTATCTATCATCTCTCCATATATCTAAATAGGTTAGCTTTATGCCCTTTCAGTCTGATAGCCTTAGGTTCATTTTTCCTACTTTTACTCCATAATTTTCTAGGGTATTATGAACTATAAATCACTGCTATATAAAAACGACAGTAAAGAAAAAACTTTTGAACTTTTGTGTTATTCTTGATTCCGCAATGAATAAGGAAGAGAGGTACAAGAAAGGCCAAAAGTGGATGCATCTGGAAGTTTTGCCCATCAACAAGTATCCCTGGGGATAGTCATTTAGTCCAAAAATCTCTAATCCAATGCTGGGTGGGCAGAAGCTCAAGAGCGCAGTCTGAAGAGGGGAGGGGAGAAGGAAGTAAGTGGCTTTGTTATTTTACAATAACCTGGGTACCGAATACAACATCCCTCAGTATCCAAGGGAGATTGGTTCCAAAACCCTCCCATAGACACCAAAATCTGCAGATGCTCCAGTTCCTTATATAAAACCAGATAGTGTTTGTATATAACCTATATACATCCTCTGGCATACTTTAAATCATCTCTAGATTACTTATAATACCTAATACAATTCCTAAGCATCATTTCATTTGTGTGGAGTGGATTCAACATAGAACTCTACAAACTGCAAATTCAAGTTTGCTTTTCGAAACTTCGTGGAATTTTTTTTCTGGATACGTTTGACCCACAGTCACTTGAATCCACAAATGTGACAAATGTGGAACCTACAGATATGGAGTACCGGCTGTATGTTTGAGGGACCTAAAACTTCCCTCAGGCCAGAGACGGAAAGTAGCAGAATAACTTCTACACACTTCTCACCTCTCCCTGTTGCAAACTTTTGGGAAATTCTTTTTGTTTTCATCCATTAAGTTGATCCAAGATGAAAGTAACTTAGGTCCTCTGAGAACAGGAGCAACTAGAAGAGGATGATGAATGAGATGGTTCTACCTGGCAGGAGATAGACTCCCATTGAGTCTGAAAATCAGATCCAGAACATTTGCACCCAGGCAGCATTCAAGGTAGGATTCAGAAAAAAAAAAAAAAAAAAAAAAAAAACGTGGAAAGATGGATGGATGGATGGATCAATTGATTGATCAAAATATAGGTAGATTCTAAATATTGACAGATATTGAACTAATACAATAAATAGGATATTATAAGTGAAAAGCATAAAAGAGGAAGCCTACTGCAGAACCCGAAACTGAAACCCAGAGTAGATAACTGACTTCACAACAACTCTGCCACACTTAGATTATGACAAACTCAGCATGTATTCTGGTGGGGAAGTGGCAGAAATAACGAAAAGTCTAAGACACGATAATACATAGAGTCCTGAAGGTGTAGCTTTGGAGGGAAATCAGAGTTCTACAACAGGTGATAAGCAACGTCTTCTTTCAGTTCTGCTGGTGTGTCTTTGTGATTCTGCATAAAATCTTCTTTGAAGATGAGAAACTAAAATGTCACTTTAAGGGCCTCTGTGACTGTGAGGCACAGGCTTCATGGCCCCACCAATAGCAGTGACAGCCTTGGAGTCAAATCAGAAATATCTTTCTTGTACTGTGGTGGAATCAGGCTGAACCTCTGGCCATAAACTTCACAGGCACCAATTCTGCTTTCTAATCAAGGCTCAGCCGTTTGGATGGTGCAGTTAATGCTCTTACTCACCCAAGCCTTCTCTTTCCCGTAAAGCATCCCCAGTGCCTCGCATGACATCATTTTTAGCTCCTTTCCTGCCTGGTTTCTTTCCTACATACTGGGTGGGTTGATAGGGCAGGTCCAGAGAATCATTCCTAACCTGTGTCTGGGCAGAGATTTTCCATGGACAGCCTTGGGGAGAACTGGTTTTCTGCCCTGCCTTGTACCAGGGAGGCTCCTGCACTCGTAGTTTTCTTTCTGGTTATGGTAGAGGGGAATGAAAGGTGTTTAGTCACTGAGGATGAAGAAGATTTGAGTGTTAATGAGCCTCTCCTACATGGGTATTTAACTTAATCACTTGGGCTTTTGTTGTTTGAGAAAGAATCCAATATGAAAACCTGGTTTCTACAAGCCTTTTTGTTGTCGTGTTCTCTTGGTCCCAAGGAAGTGTTCCTCGTATCAGCAGCAACAAAAAAAAAATTACTACCCCTTCTCCTCTTTTCCTTAATATGCAAGCTCTGACCCTGAACCCTCAAATAAGCAGAATTGGGCCTCTGGACAGCAGAGGACCATCCAACAAGGTAGAAGCAACACATTTCACAGTCTCCAGATTTGGGATGAAGACCCCCAAGAATAAATACATATTTCGTTCATCACTCATTCCCATATTAGCCCACAGTATCAAGATCTGGAAGATCGAAGATGGGTTTTGAATGCAAGAAAAGAAC